GGTAGCTATATGGTATCAAATATCACCGACTGAACACTTAAGAGCTGTGCATTTTTCACTGTATGTTGACAGCTCTGAATAGAAAAACATCTTTAGGGCGCCTGGATGGCTCAGTCTGGCTCAGGTTACGATCTCATGGATCGTGGGTTTGAACCCCACATCAGGCTTTGCACTGACAGCCTGGAGCCTGCTTCAGATTCTGTGTCTCCCTCTCTCTCTGCCCCTCTCCCACTCATGCTTGCTCTCTCTCTCTCTCAAAAATAAACATTAGAAAATTTTTTTTAAACTTCTTTAAAGAAAAAAAGAAAAACCTCTCTAGACATGTCTAAAATTATTAAAGAAATTCAGAAAATCTTTCCAAGCCATAAAAAAATGAGAAATTTCTTTCAATATTAATACAAAGAAAAGTAAAATAAAAACAGAAAATTAATGCAAAGACTAATACAAGTTGTTGAAAAGTTTAAATTACAGACTACTTTATGAAAATATATAGTTTTACTACTTTTAAGTACTATATGCCAACCTCTAAAAACTTTAAAACATTTTAAAAAGTTAAGTATTGCTGAGCAGAGGACTAAAGTAACATTCACAATTAAAATATCATATGTCACAATATTAAAAATGCTGAGAATGAAAGTCTCTCTGTGATTTTTTTTTTTTTTAATGTTTATTTATTTTGAGAGACAGAGGGAGCACAAGCTGGGGAGGGGAAGAGAAAGGGAGACACAGAATCAGAAGCAGGCTCTAGGCTCTGAGCACAGAGCCCGACACGGGGCTCGAGCTCACAAACTGTGAGATCATCACCTGAGTCGAAGTTGGATGCTTAACTGACTGAGCCACCCAGGCGCCACTCTGTGATTCTTTATTATAACAGTACACAGGTAACTGTCTCCAAAGTTTTATTAGCAAACTGCTATTTTACTATTCTCACATGACTTAACAATTCACAACTTTATGATCTATTTAACCGCCTCACATTTTGGGGGAAATTTATCAGTTACACAGACCTATGTTCTCGAGCGGGGGAAGGGCAGAGAGAGAGAGAGAGGGGAGACAGAGTCTGAAGCAGGCTCTAGGCTCTGAGCTGTCAGCACAGAGCCCAAAAAGGGGCTCGAAATCATGAACCATGAGATCACGACCTGAGCTGAAGTTGGACACTTAACCAACTGAGCCACCTATGTGCCCCAGAGCTATGTTCTTTAAATCTCCACGTCAATGGGGCGCCTGGGTGGCCCAGTCGGTTGAGCGTCCGACTTCAGCTCAGGTCATGATCTCGCGGTCCGTGAGTTCGAGCCCCGCGTCGGGCTCTGGGCTGATGGCTCAGAGCCTGGAGCCTGTTTCCATTCTGTGTCTCCCTCTCTCTCTGTCCCTCCCCCATTCATATTCTGTCTCTCTCTGTCTCAAAAATAAATAAACGTTAAAAAAAAAAATCTCCATGTCACTAACTGAAGATGAGAGAAGTGAACACAAACAAACAATTGTGAAACTGTCTTGATATGAAAATATAAGCTCACTTGGGTGACTATATGATATCCAGAAAATCATGTAATATACTATCAGGATTAATATGTGTTATCTATATCCTAACTAATTATCTAGCTGATAACTAATGCTTTAATTATGGACTCTTAATCCTAACTAGCTGAGATGCTATGGCAATGGGTTATCCAATATGGAACATTTTATTTTGTTTTTTTGTTGTTGTTGTTGTTGTTTTTATTTATATATGAAATTTATTGTCAAATTGGTTTCCATACAACACCCAGTGCTCATCCCAAAAGGTGCCCTCCTCAATACCCATCACCCACCCTCTCCTCCCTCCCACCCCCCATCAACCCTTAGTTTGTTCTCAGTTCTCAACAGTCTCTTATGCTTTGGCTCTCTC